ATGCCAGGAGGGAGAGCTCACCTCTGTCTGCATGGGGTTACCAGGAATACATCAGCAGTCATAGTCACACAGGAGTGTCTACCTATCACATGTGAGAATTGATGCCTCAAATTAGGATACTAGTAGGAATAGTGGGGAAAGCAGTTACAGGGAACAAATTAAGGGAAGGAGAGGAAAACAGTAGGGATGAGCTATGCCCTGAAGCCACTGGCTGCCCACTCTCATACCCAGTAACAATCTGTTGTGTCTGGAGGGACTGTGGAAAGCTGAAATGGAAGAGACTGTAGGAGCTATGGAACCAGGAGGGTGACCAGTTGTGGATGCTATACCGCTTTGGCTCGGGTTTCTATCTGGCATCTAGGAGCAGTTATTCAAAGGAAAACAAGAGGAGAATGTATTTTCATTGGAGCTGCATTTTGTAACCTTTCCTTTTTTCTCTGCATCCACTGGAGTGGAGCTGCTAATCTCTGCAACTTCCCCAGAACAGACAATGTCATCCATCATGCCTCTTCAGTCTCAGCAGCTCATTTTATTTAGGGATGTGAGCCTAAGGAATTCTGCCCACACTGCATTGACAGGATCAACTGCATTCTCCTCACAGTGTTTCCTCACACATATAATTAAGTATGTGAAACTGAAGACAATGTATAGATCTCTCTTTTAGACTGTAACTTTCCAGATTTAGAACTTGCCATGACATCTGCTAAGATACCAGATATCAGATGAAGGAAACTGAGGTGACAATTTTTCCAATAGCTGAATATGAGAAATGACTCGAATTGAGAAGCAAATTAACTCTGTGCTAAAATGCTAGAAATTTGAAGCAAAATTGTTTCTGGGTGTAGCTTTTCATGTGGGGTCAGAAAAATAGCCATTATGTTGTACCTCTATTGCTAAAAGGGAAGAGGACTTTAAACAGCGAGAAATTAAAGGTAAGGCCAAGATTCTAAAAGAAATGAAAATACACTGACAGCTGAGATGGAATATAGCACAAATTTGGGGATATTAGGACCAGCTCTTGTGAAAGCTGTTTTTATGTTAAATAAACTTCAGTATGTCATCTGAAGGGCAGTGAGCCACAACTAGATGATCTGAAGAATCATCATAGAATCATGGAATGGCTTGGGTTGGAAGGGCCCTTAGAGATCATCCAGTTCCAACCTCCCTGCCATGGGCAGGGACACCTTCCATTAGGTTCAGAGCTCCATCCCAATTGGCCTTGAACACTTTCAAGGATGGGGCATCCACCACTTCTTTGGGTAACCTGTTCCAGAGCCTCACCATCCTCACAGTAAAGAATTTCTTTCCTATATCTAATCTAAACCTACCCTCTTTCAGTTTGAAGTCTTGCCTCTTTGTCCTGTCACCACAGGCCCTTGTAGGAAGTCCCTCTCCTGCAGGCTTCCTTTCAAATACTGGAGGCTGCAATTAAGGCTGAAGCCCTCTCTTTTTCAGGCTGAACAAAAACAACTCTCTCAGCCTTTCCTCATAGGAGAGGTTGTCCATCACTCTAATCAACTTGGTGTCCCTCCTCTGCCTTGACTGCAATCAGTTGATATCCTTCCTGTGCTGGGGACTCCAGAGCTGGATGCAGCACTCCAGGTGGGGTGTCACCAGAGCAGAGTAGAGGGACAGAATCCTCTCCCTCAACCTGCTGGCCTCACTGCTTTTGATGCAGCCCATTGGCTTTTTTAGCTGTGAGTGCACATGGCCAGGTCACATGCAGCCTCTCATCCACCAGCACTCCATAATTGCACACACCTGGGTGTGCTTTCACCCACTCTGTCAGCACATCTATTGTTCATCCAGCAACAGATCTTGGCTTTATCAGGAAAACAAAACAATGGAAAAGAAAAGAATCTTTTGTCCCTGTATTGAATCTTTAACCAAGTAGTTGCTATAGCAATATCATTTTTAAAAATACTAAATTTAAAGTAACAGCTTCTAAGAGCTACGTCTGCTCCTGTGAGATATATTTTTGTTTCAATTTCTCTCACGCTCAATTTAAAGAAACTGAGATTCTCTATTCCCACCACCAAAATATTCAAAGTTAATTTTGAAAACAGAACAAAAAAGGGATTGACCTATTTTTCTACTTTTTATTGCACCTCCTTCTTTTTTAGAATTCCCATTCTACATTAGTCATATGATGTGTACACTTTGATGTTCAGGGATAGATGCTATGGGATACAAAACCTACTGTACACTGGCTAGATAGAGGCTGTAGGTGATACACTGCTGACAATGCCTCTGTGTTTGCACAGATTAGAATCTGACTCTGTCTTATGCAGTGTCTTTGAAATTCACTTGGATCAGGCTTTTTACGTATCATTTGATACAGTCTTTTCCTTACTGATTTCTGTTTGTTTTTTGTTGTGTTTGTAGTTTTTTTTGTTTGGTCTGTTGTTTTTTTCCCCAAAGTTACAGTCCAGAATGGAATTTATATCTTTCTAGGATATTATAGGATTTAGGTGAAATATCTTTGTTACTTTTAATTCATAGCTGAACAGCCAAAACTTCACTGTGTCAGCTTAGGTTAGCAATTTGCTAGTGACACAGCCATTGTGGTGTAGAGATAAAAGAAAAACCTTTATGATGTGCACAATGTGTTTCACTCTCTTTCCCCTTATCAGAGGATCACTTATCAGGTACTGCCTTGGATCAGCAGCACTGGGGACCTTGTGGGTGCCGATGAGTTGGTGGCTTTGGGCAGGGGTAAGCTGACATCTTGCAGGGCTTAGGGACCACCAGGAGCTGCTGTCTCATGCAGAAGGAAAACCCTGGCAACTAGCAGCACTGGTGTATGGGTGCAGCAGCTGCCCCAGCTCCTGCTGAGCTCAGAGCCCTTCTTCATTTTCCCTCCTTGCAGCCCTGCTCTGTGCAAGCAGATTTTCTGCTGCTGAGGTCGTGCCAGCCCCAAGCCCCCTTATACTCCATCTTTTCCCTCTGTGCTTGTGGAGGTGTGAGCAAATAAATAGTTTGGTCCATTACCACCTTAGAAAATAGAGAACTCGACTGATGGTGACACTGATGAAACTGGTTAATATGGAAAGTGGCACATGGCTAAACTATGGCCCAAGAGTGACACTACTGAAGAATGTCACTTGACCTACCAGAGTGATTTCAGTAGCGTCATTCTCTGTGTATGGAAACAGGAAGTGGAATATGTTAATCTTATAGCTCAAATTCACATTTCCTTTTATCTTTTTCAGTTATTCTGAAGTTCAATGTGTTAGAGACTAAAAAAAAAAAAAAAAAAACCCAACCAAAAAAACCCCAACAAAAAACACCAAAAAAGGAAAAGGGTAGGCTGGTGTCTGTTAGCCTACAACCATGTGACTCAGGACTGACTGCAATGACATTAACAAAGGGAAGCTTATGAGTAGCTATGTCAGAAAAGAATAATGATCTGGGGTGATACAAGTTCTGGCTGATGGTTGGACTAGATGATCTTAAAGGTCTTTTCCAACCTTAATGATTTTAAGATTCTAAAAAAAGTCAGATTAAATGAAGTCTGAAATTCCACCAGCTAGGTCAGCACAGTTCACTGAAAATCCCCCAACTTACAAAGCTCATCTATATATTTGCTGGACATTTGGCAGATAGATTCCACTTTAAGTGAATTATTGATAGACAAATTCACCTCTGCTGTTATTAAGCTCATAGCAGTATTACTTGGCACCCACTTTTCATACCCTGCAGATATTAATTAAATTACTATCACAGCCCTTTTAATTATCCATATTCTTATCATACAGATTCAAAGTGAGATAGGAACCACGGTGACTCACTTAGACCATACACTAATGTTTTTAGGTATTGCCTGTGAGGAAAATGGAATTTGAATGCATGCCTTTCTTCTTGCCATTAAATAGACATTTGAATTTCATAAACTCTTTTCTATAAGGAATGTCCTTGCTTTGGAACAGTTCCTGTGGATTTGTTTTGGTTTTTTTTTTTGCCTGTAGAGCCATCAGGAATTCTAAGTGGAATATTCAATAACAATAATACACAGCATGGATTGGAGCCTGGATGACATTTACCATGTTCTATGCCTCCTGTAGCACTGCAACTTTAAACAGAACATAGATGTTCCCTTTCATACAGTAAACCTGGTCCAGCTGGGTCAATGAAATTTGGAGAAAGAATGAAAAGAAGTGTAAATTTTTAGCTATGTAAGAATAATGAAGTAAATACACAAATGATTGAAGTACAGGACACTGTAGTCTCTCCATTTGGAAGCATCCTCATTTCTCCAGAGGGTTGTGATTTGAACACATAGATTGAGCATTTTGGAACAACCCAAGGAATTGGGTACTTATATTTTATTATAATAAAGGGATAGGACCCTGGACTTAATATGAGCTTTGTCGTGAAGCCCAGCCTACAGACCAGCCACTGTCGTTTTCCTTTATCCTGAAGTGAATCTTCATCAACGCAGGGAGGTATTACAGGAAATGACACTATGAAAAGTATCCACACATACCAATGTGGGCTGGTCCAGGCTATGGCTTTCATGAGCACTGGTGGAATATTAAAAAAATATAAAATCTCAGGATGAAATTTTCTGGAAATTTTATGCAGAGGGTCAGGGCCCTAAGTTTACCAACAGAGTCTGTGACCACTTTAGGTATTGACTGCCTGTGCACAGGCTAGTGCTGACATGGTGCTGTCGTGCCCAGCCTGGTACCTCACTGATCCCAACCTTGCCTTCCTGATTTGACTTCCCAGGTTGACCTCAGACCTGCCTCATAACTACAGATTTGTCTGGTGATCATGGACAGTTGGCCAGTACTGGTTACCATCACCAGACCTTCTCTGTGTGCCTCGCTGGGGTGCCACGGGACTGTGTGGCTTGTCAGTGACGATGCTGCCCAGTCTGCCTGGCTGCACTTTCAGCCCATGGACCACTGCCCATGCAGAGCAGCCAGCTCTCCCTAGTCCCTGACATAGAAGCTAAATTCCACTCAGTTTTGTTGCTTAGCTTTAGTTTTCATTATTCTTTATTCTGTAAATTAATTCTTAAATTTTTAAAATTAAAAGCACAAATAGAATTAACTTTCCAAATTTTCCAGCATGTGAAAGATGTAAAAGTGAACCCCTGAGTTCTTCTTTCCGTGAAGTTACAGTGAGGTTTGGTTCTGCTTTTGTTCCAGTGCTACAGTGAAATTTCACATTCTGTTGCAAAATGCATAGGTCAGCACAGGGACAAATCTGTGGTGAAATAACTTGCACTGCTGCTTGCATAATTTTTCCTTCATAATACATAAGAAAAAACTACAGGAAAAAAAAAAACACATCAAAAAAAAAATCCAGCAAATGGAAACAAAAAAGAGAAGGGAACATATTTTTCTAAAGAGGAAGGCAACAGCCAGAACAGTGACAAACACAGTTCATAGAATCACAGGAAAATTGTGGTTGGAAGAGACCTCAGGAATTCTCAACCTTCTGCTCAATAGAAGATCAGCTACAAGGCCAAACCAGGTTGCTCAAAGCTTTGTTCAGTTGGGTCCTAAAAACTGCTCAGGATGGAGCCCACAGAACACCTTGGTACAACCTGCTCCACTGTTTTTCAGCCTTCATAGTTCAAAAGTTCTTCCTTAAATCCACTCTGACCCCTCTTGCTTCAGGTTACGCACACGATTTCTTGCCCCTCCTTATTTGAGCTCTTGTGAAGAGCTTGGCTCCATTTTCTCAATACCCCCTTTGCAGGATTGCAAGGCTGCCATTAGGTCCCCCAGCATCTTCTTTTCTCTTCTATTCTCCAGGTTGAACAAGCTCAGCTTCCACACTTTCTCAAGTTCCCATTTCAGAACGTGAAATTAATTGAAAGTATAAATAGACCTGAACAGCAACTCACAAAAACTAGGGAAGTGCTCTTTGTAATGGAGAAAATTTTACTTTACACACAGAACGATGTTCTCATAAGAAATTTCTTACTGATTGTGACCACTGTATGCACATCCTCCATATATGTCACACCTAGAAATGTGCTGAAAAATGACGATCAAAATCTTTCCACCACACAGACTTGCTAGAGGAGGATTTTTTTTTTTTTTTGATGGAAAGAAAATTTTTTCCCTTTGAAACTGAAAAACCACCATTACCAAATATTCTTCCTGGCAATTGAACGAAAGTAAAAATGTACTGAGCGGTGAAAAAAAGAGAAACTTTCCATTGTGTTTTAACTCTTTTCAGGGGCTCAAGTGTCTGCTGCTACCAGGGAACCAGGCAGATGTTTCTGGGGCCTGTGCAGGAATAGGTCCCTGAATTAACTTTTGATTTGGGCTAAAACAACTCTTTCAAAATGTGGGTTCTTTTGCTTCTGTTCTTATTGTTTGTTTGTACATTCATGCTCTTTGCTGGTTTGTCAGTTTTTCTGATTGGCTTGTTCAATTTTTTTAAAATCGGCAGACTGGGAGCCCTGGAACCTCTAGCTGAGGCTTCCAGGTGCAGTTAAGTAAATGGATATAAACCTTGCTCTATTGACCCTGAAAATGTAACCACACTCCAGATTTCAGTCATAATAAGCAAGTCTAAAGGCTGTTCCTTTATACTTGTGGAGATGTGAAACCTCACTTTTCAACCTTTCTCTTACTCCCTGCATATATCAGGAAAAGTTTCATATGAGTTAAAACACTGGTGGCTAGAACTGCTTCTTTATAAGCACTTGAAGTAATGAATTTTCAGCTGTCTGAAACCCAATATTTATACTGTAATGAAACTGCATAAAATCTGATTATACATTAGAACGTATATTTTTCAGAGGAAACAAAAGCTGAAAAGCTTAAGAGCAGGTTAATACCCCTGCACATGAGGTAAACAATTTTAAGAAGTGGCTGATCTCAGGTGTATGCTGAAGAACAATTTGAGTCTTCACTGAAACACAGGAACCATCATAGCAGCCTAAATTACACTATGAACTTAGAGAGAAATTTACCACACTCCCTCTGTCTACTTCTTTGTCAATCAGGACAAGAAGGACTTCAGCCTTCCTCCAGCTAAGCACATCTATGCCCATCTTGTGGGCTAGCTAGCAAGCTACAGCAGGAGGCAGTTGTGTTGGGAATCCTCAGTAATTCTGTCTTGTCATGGTCATCCTTCTTGACTGTGCATGTGTTTGTTGTCAGTAATTTATGTAGCATACCTGATTTAAAGATACGTGTTCACACTCCATTGATTTCATTGACCCTACAGTGAATTCTTATTGGCTCCAGATACTGATTTTTTTTTAGACTGGCATCTCTGACTTTCAGGGTATTTCCTAGGTACAGACTGGAGAAGAATTTTACTTTCTTTTCCCTTTAGGTCATCCAATTTTGCTTTGAATGTGCCCACTCAGGCATTTTTGACAGTCTCTGTTTCACAGGAAGTTCTGTAGGTGATCAGGGCACTGCTTTTTGTAGCAGAACTGCACAGAGCTTGGTCTTTCACTTGGTCTTCTTCACGCTTTCGTAGGCACAAGCAACATCTCAGCACATTCAGAATGTCTGTTTGTGCAGTCTCACTCACAAAGCAGTAAAGAATGGGGTCTGCAATGCAATTCAAACTCGTTAAAGCCTGTGTGATTCTGTAAACCTTATACATCTGCAGCAAAAGATGTGGGTCAGTGGTGAAAGGTTCTCTGACGCTGCGAATAAGCAATATAATGTGATAAGGAGTGAAGCAAACAATGAAACTAATTGTGATATTCAGAATAAGTTTTCTCACTTTTTTCTTTTCTTCATCTAGTGTGGCTTGGTTATACTTCACTACTTGGTAGATTTTATGGTAGCAAAACAAAATGATTATCAAAGGGACCAAGTACCCTGAGCATATCCGAAATAGATTTATCCGTGCCTGCCACCCTTCCAGGGGGTATTTATCATAACATAATGTATGATTAGTGAAATTGCAAGGATCATTGAATACTTCTTTGTGCACCAATATAACTGAATTCAAGATGCTTTCCAGAAGCCAAACAGTTATGCTGACAATCAGTGAAAATCTTCTTGTGCGCAGGTGCTGGAGCTTCAAGGGGTGAACTAATGCCAGGTACCTGTCAACAGAGATGCAAGCAAGGAACGCGGTGCTGGTGTAGAAATTCATATACATAAGGAAGGCAGAAATCTGACAAAGTGTGGCAGAGAGCCTCCAGTCATCTCCATTCCAGGCATAATTAATCCACAGAGGTAGAATCAAAGAGTACAAAAGATCAGCCAGGGACAGGCTAAAGATGTAGACTGCTGACTCATTCTTTTTCCTCACCTGAATGCAAGATGCATAGAGGGATATGCAGTTGATGGGGATACTGATTATCATCACAATGCTGTACACAAATGGAAACAAATATTTATCCAGGGTGTGATCATCATGGCACGCAGCAGTGCTGTTGTTCATAGTCCACTCTGAGTAGTATCTTTGGGCTAATTCCAGCCTGGATGCAAAAAAGACCCCTCTGTAGTCTGATGGGTGGCCATCTGTCAGTTCTTCAGGACCTTGTTGACAAGATTCCCACCTCCTGTTGCCAAAGAAGAAAAACGTCAGCTATAACATTTTTGTTTGTTTTTATGGGCTGCTTGGTGTGTGTATTTTTTTTTTTTTTTGAAGAAAGAGATTGTGTTTGTAGGAGATCAAAGGTTTTAAATACTCCTGGAATTAGGACTGTATAGGATGAGGAACCCAAGACCTAAGGTGTTGAGGTCAGTTAGATGTAAACTTCTACAGCAGAAGCAGGATGAGTAGTTAAGACACTTCTGGGTTGGGGTTGTGTCCTACAATCCCAGGTCTTTCTTGTGGGAGAGTTGAAGGAGATCAGAAAGGGGACTAGAAATAATAGAAAGGCACTTTCTATTATACTGGTAAGCATGATTTTGGGAACATAAATATAGCAGATTTCTATCCCAAATAACCTCCTCCCCTCTAAGTCAATGGAGGAACAAGGATAGAAACACAGGGATTCAGTTACTACTGGGATCTGCTCAGAAGAGGAAAATGTGTGACTGGTATATCTTCCTATTGCTAATCCCTCTCTAGTTGCATTCTCATGCATTCCTGCTTTCTCTCTCCTCCTTTGTATGCAATCCTGCAAGAACTTGCTATCAACTGCGCTATTCCAACAAAACCTACTGCATGTCCCAGGAACCCTCATGTGAAACCTGGCAGGCTGTTGGGTTCCTGCATGCACAGGAGAATCTGCTGGGTGTCCCTTTGACTCATGTCAGGTGGAGACTGAGTACAATTGTTCATTTACACTTCTTTCCTCTAAAAATTGTAGCTGCCATGCATGAGACAGTTGGTACTCACTGGTTGTATCACAGATCTGACATTCACTAGTTCTCTTCTCTAAAGACCTAGTTGTTATGTTCAAGAAATATGAGAATGGAGAATATTTGTTGTGGTCCAGTTCTACGGCCAAATATTCGAACTGCTTCAGAGACTGCCTGTGATAACTCATGTTTGCTTTGAGCCTGGACTACCAGCAGGGGAGGTGAAGAGGCTGAAGAAGGAGTAGGTTGCAAGATAGCAAGTTTGCAACTGTCCCCACATGGGAAAGAACTCAAACTGAAAACAACTTGTGTTTAGAAACCTTCCCACGTGGTAAGAAAAATTCAGTCTTTTATGGGATTGATGTGTGTGTTTGGGGAACTTTGTGGGTTTATCAGAGAAACCCAAGCAGGTTTATTGCCTCTGCTGAGAGGTTATTATATGGATCTCTCGTCTATAAAAAAAACCCCTTTCATGCCAAAAAAAAAAAAGGAGCAATGACAAAACTACTCAGAAAGCACATATTTAATTTTACCAGCCACTGCTTTATTTGATCAAGTTGGCTAACCTTTTACAGTTAGAGCTAAATTAATTCCCAAGCTTGAAAGACAAGGACAATTCTTGAGAATGACTTGCCAATTCAGTCCATTGAAGAACTTTACCTACATGGGGACTAATTAAAAAAAAAAAAAAAGCAGTGTCTATATTTAAGACAAACATAACATGTCTACATTTCATCGTTGTTTAATAAAACCACATGGTAAATAGGGCATTGTGAGCTTACCAGTATAGATAAGTATCACAAACTAAAAATCTAGGTCTAAAAATTGCATTGCAGGTTTTTGCTGACCCACTTCATACCAAAAACAACAGACCAGATGAGTAAAAGATAAAATACCTACCTCTTCTTCTAATCACATTTTAGCATCTCTTTGCCTATGACAGGTCTCTTCATGTCTAACAGGGAAACATGCCCTTTCAAAAGCATGTGTTATGTAGTGTGAGGCAGTGTTTACTAGTCTCATGACTGAGAAACTGGAATTCCTTCTCCCTCCCCCATAAACTCTTTCTCTTTTGTTAGTTGTTGTATTACAGAATCATCATCCTTACAAGCTCCTAATTTGTCTCCATGTTGCTCACAACAGCTTCTCTCTTTCATATCTGCTCACAGACCAACATACCAATTTCCTCATACCGCCCACCTTTTTTGCTTCAGCTTTCTCATTTTAGCTCATTGTTTCTAAGTTTTGCCCTGTTGATCTCACTGATCATAGGGTAAAACACTTGTCCTTTTATTGCACTTGTCTGAATAAACCACGTTATTTGGGGCGAGACTTTGCTTTGCTTTTTTGCCATCTGCCTTAAGGAGCTAATATCTAAGGTATAATTGATCAATGGCAGGCTGGGCCACTGAAGATGAAATGCAAAAAAAAAAAAAAAAAAAAAAAGAGTTTAGACCACACAAAATTTGCCATCTTGGAAAGCTTTTCCTGTCCTTCATATTCACGTCACTTTATCCCATCTTTTTCTTTTATTTTAAAACAGTATGTTCATTAGCTTCTGTGAACACAGCCCTGGAGACTGTTTAACATTCCTCAGGTAATCCATGTCCCAACTATGATGACACATTGATAGTACTTATATGAGGACATGCTTCAAATGAGGATAATAATGAGAAGTGTGTCATTCTGGCACGTACCGATGACCTATACTTAAGTGTGTCAAAGAGCCAGCAAATAAAGCATACCACAGTGCATGCTGCAGTTTTTTGCACAGAAATATAAAGCAGAAAGCACTGTTTTTCCCTGATTACAAGAAATTTCAGTCAAATTGCTTGGGGTCTTATTTCAAGGGAAGTCATCCATATCATACTTCATTGCCTAGTTGTTTTTCTGATAATTAGGACTTTGTAATACAAGATAATTTTGCTTACCTGAACACATTCCCAGGTTTTCTCTCAGCTACTGAGCATACCTGCTGGTTTTGCCCAGGAGGATGGCATTGGTTTACAGCTATTCTAAAAACCCATATTTGATAATTTACCCCACTGATTTTTATTTAAAACAAACAAACCAAACCAAAACAAACTATAAAGGAATTTCTGTTTAATTTAATGGTTTGACTTTCATGGTCCAAACCCACTGTGAATAATTCCGTAGACTTCTGACTTATTTTATAGACTTGTTTTGCTATGAATTGCATTTCAAAAAAAAATATTCTTAACAATAATTTTTTCTTTTAGACACATTATTCAATTATTATCATAATTCCTGCCTCTGTCATTTTGCTACAGAAAACCTGCTGTTCAAGAATTCTTCAGAATCAATAAGACTTAATATTTAGGGAAATGGACTAGCAAATGTTATGCTTCAAGTAACATGCAAATAAGCCTGTAAAGGAACCTTGTGAAAGTTTCTAGAGAGCGGTAGTAATTATATATTGTATTTGTATCAATGCTTTCCTACAGTATCTTCTTCAGGTTCAAAGAGAGCTTTATGTAGTCTGTCCATTGATGACATTTTGAAAGTAATCAAGTAAAAGTTAAACTTTCATAAGCATAAATACACAAATACTCTTATCTGTAAACAACTATCTAAGGGAAGAAAGGAACAATGCTGTGTGAGCTAGTGCAGTAGGTGCCATACCGGTGATACTGTACATCAACCATAAGATGGAAAGACAGACAACTTTCTGGATTTCCTTTTTCTCAACAAAGTTGTTTGCTTTGTGTTCTCAAAAATAAGTTCTTTTGCCAAGTTGATTTCCTCAAGAAACTTCACAATTCAGGAGAGCTGAAATACATTTTTCAGTAACATGGAATTTTTTTGATTAAATTAAACCACATTTTTCCTCAAGCAACACTAAATTTCACCCATGGTTCTGCATGAGATTCTGTAGAGACTCCAACCATCTTAAAGAGCTCAGCCTTTTTAACTTGAAAATACTCTTTATGGACTGCTTTATTGAGCATAAATATTCTGTTAATGTGAGCAAACAGAAAAAAAAAAAAAAAAAGTCACGTCTTTCAGGATGTAGGCCATACAGGCAAGTATTATTTTGCTATATCATTATGTGCATCATGTTTTCCTCTCCACATGAAGAAAGATGTACAAAATATTTTCATGTACATGATAATTGGTATTCTAAGAAGCTACTTTTACCAGAGCTTATTTTTCTGCTAAGTTTTAAGCTTTGTGTGTGTGTGTATATATATATATATATATATATGTATATGTATATCACTGAGTATTTTGTTAGTGCCATAAAATACTAAAGAACAATGATAGAAGAACTACTGGAACCCCCTGTGACACCTGAGGCACTTTTTGCAGTGATGGGACTGCTCAGAATATTGAAAACTCCCTCTCATAAGCAGCAGGTATTTTGATCGTGGCAGTATCATTACTACAAACAAAAAATCAAGCTGGCATGTCTTCCCTAAATCAATCTTTGTTATTTGCTCTTTAGTCTCATGTTTTAGTTGTGCTGAGATTCAAATAATCCTTCTCCCAGAGAAATCTTTTCCAGCCCCTTCTGTGTCCCTTCTTTTTGTCGCATGATGCCAACCTCACATTAAGGCAGAGGTAGCTTGAAACCTGTACCAGAATATAATATGTGTGTCTGACTTCTTGGATTCTGAACACTTACCTTGGCAGCCATGTGTTCCTGTGTAGCAGTGTCCCTCTTGTACCATTGGTAGTGTAACCCGTGTCTGCTTCTGAGAAAAAGTGTCTGCTTCTGCTTTATCAGATACAACACAGGAAGCTGCTCTTAGAAAATGAGTCACACATTTCACGTATTTCTTAATTTTTTTGGCCTCTTTTTTTTGCCCCAATTCCTTATTAATCTAAGCTTAGCCATGGGAAAAAAACCAAACATAATTACAAATAAGTACGCAAGAAGGACAGTGCCAACCTTGCTACATCTAAAAATACTTTTAGAGAGTTTAAAAAAGTTTAATTGAAAATACTGCCTAATTACGTGAGCAGAGTATATTTTAAACTCGTTAGCTAGGAGACATTATGTTCTGCAGAGAAACCATTCCACAAAAATAAAATACCATGTATTATTTGAGTTTACTAGTATATGTTCGAAATATACATCTTTCTTTTTTGATTGAAGGACCTCACTTGCCTTTCCCTACAAATTTATCACAGAATCAAATAAGAATGCACTTAAGAAGAGTTCAAAAATACATCACTTCATGACTTTTTGGAAAGAGAATTAAGTATTTTCAGAATTTATGGGAAGTTTGACAACAGTCCTAGTTAACAAAGGATAACAGAATTTTCTACACTGTGATGGGTTGCATATTTCTGTATTTTTACATAAACTGAATCTGAGGTTAGATACAGCTTTCACAGGAGTGATTCTTTTAGCAGGCAATTCTATTCAAATAGGTGGAAGACTGTTACATAAGCACAGTTATCTTTCCCCTCTGTGATCAGAACTGTATGTATTTTTTCTTAAATTCTGTTTGGAATGATACAATTCTTTAAGAAACTGGGTACAATTTCACTTTAAATGTACATCTGTGGGGCAACACAAAAACTGTCCTGTGATGATTCAGATGCTAAGGAGAAATGAAACAGATGAACAAATTTTAAACCCCTAACGAAGAGGCATACAGACTTCCTTGAAAACAACACCAGCAAGCTCTATTACATTTAACCATTGGATGGAGAGATTTGGTTCCTTCTTTTTCATCCACATTTTTTTAACTGACGTGCTTGTTACACAAAGCCTAAATTATTAAATCATTCCGTACTTGTGGCCATTCTCAAACTCTTATCACAACCCCCTCCGGTTTGGTGAAAGGGAGGCCACTTGGTTAGATCAATTTTTAAAATAAATGTCAGTCACATCTTCATTTTCATTGAGACAAAAGTCATTAGACAAAGTTTACCACTTTCCACCTGCCTTTTGGTAACATGGTACCTATTAAGAATGGTGTCTAGTGTGCTGGTTCTGCTGTTTTGTTGAGGATTCCTACACTGATGAAGAAGTAACAGTTATTATTATTAGAAATAGAAAAACATAGTTGAAACATTTCTACAGTTCTTCACTCTAACAACTGATAGTGGAATTGAAAGATCAAAGAAAGCAAGAGAGGATACAATGCCTTTTATATGTTCTGGAAGTAAAGCTATATGTAAAAATCAACTCTTCACTGTGTCCATATGCAACAATTTTATTTCTGATGTAAACAGCACAGTTTTCCAGGGGTTTTTTGAGATCTCGATATACATGGTATCTCAGATATCTGGCTATCTTGGGACCATAGGTGTTCTTAGTATTTGCTGAGATTAATGTACTATCAATAAAAAAAAAGAGCTGAAAAGCATTAAGAGCAGAAAACTACTTTATCTAGAAAATAAGCAATGAATAAGTCCTCAATAGTTTTACTGGATACATTTGCACTTACAAAGGGTCCAGATCATATGTCCTTGAATGAACAAATGCATAAAGAAGATTTAAAGCAAGGTCAAGATTCTTAATGCACAATAAAGTTCACAGAGTCACACAAAAATATACTTTTATTTCCATAAAAAACAGATTCTGAGAATGTTTTCCTGTATCATCCGAAAAGGGGAGGCACTTACCACATCATAGGATTCAAATACAAGTTTTGAAAACTGACACTTTTAAGCTCCTACAAGTGATTAAGAGACTGAATTTCATTGCTGAAACTTTCTATGTGGAATAAATTGATGCATTAATTTACGAAACTATCAGAATTAACCCACTAATAATTTATGATGGTTTTGCAAACCTTCCAGGTGTGCAAAGCTGTACAGTCTGCAGGAATGAATGTTAAATAGGACCATGAGGCACTGGCACTGTGGCTCTGCCACTGACTCACTGCAGCCCCGAGGAGTCACTCTGTCCTTCTACCGGTAATAATGATATTGTATAGCTCATTTGGGTGTGAGCAGGTTCATTAGTTAATGCTTGATATTGCTGCAAAGTGCAAAACGTTTTGTGAGTGCTTGGTATTGTTATTTAAAAAGAAATAAACAGGAAACGTCAGCCAGGTATTGTCATCACTGAGACATTAGATCCCTAAATGACAAGAGCCGCAGAGGCTCGAGTAACAGCATTCTTTATGGATAGAAACGTGCAAAACCCGGGCTTTTCCACAGCTCTTACACAATGCCCCCAGGACATCCGCAGCGGCATCTTCTGGTGCCTCATTCCTCCTTTTGGCACATGAAGTATCTCCTCTGCAACACACTGCCAGCACACTGAGAGCTCCCCATCAGGAATTCTGATAGGACAATCAAGCTGACGGACAATCTCCTGATTACTTTTCCTCTGAGACGAATGCTTGTATGCTGGAGTCTGAGGGACCACCCTGGCTATCCCCACGGAAACTTTGGGCGTGTCGCACAAGCTGCTCACGCTTTGGTGCGGCTGCCCCACAGCGCACCCCTGATGGCGTAGAACAGAAAGGCTCCTTTAGCCCCTAGCCCCTCTTATGTTAAACTCCACTTTCAGGATCCCTCTCTGGGGTCGTGTTGACGCAGCTGAGGCCAACTGGGATTCCCCGGAGAGGGCGCGGGAAGGGCTGCGGGGCTGGGCCTCTGCGGGGCTGGCGCGGGCCCAGGCCGCTCCCTGCCGCTTCCCCCGCGGCGATCAAAGGTCCTTCTCACAGCGCGCTAGAATGTGCTGCTTCAAAGCGCCGACTTGAGCCGACTCTTCAAAGGATTCGGTGGCAGCCCGAGAGGGGGGCAGAACCAGGAAACTGGCTCCGAGTTGCTGTCGAGGGCCTGGGAATGAGACACACTGGGAAAAGCCATTCCTCACCCCGGACAAGTACCGAGCCTTGCAAAAAGTCACGAAAAGGAGGGTCAGAGGCTTCGTAAAAGAGACGCAGCTGAGCACCACCCCGACCTGCTGCCGCTCACGCTGCACTGAAAGCAATTCCCGGTGTGCTCCCAGATAAGCCCCGCCTCGCCTCACAGCCACGGGCCTTCCCACACCCAAGATGACTCCGCGAAAGCTTCACTCGCCGCTCAATGCCCAGTTCCAGCGGGGCGGTGCGCGCCTCAGCAGCCACCGCTTGCCTTGCCCTTTGTCGAAATGGCGACCGTTGACTTCAGCAAGGGAGGGCTTGCCCGTAAAGCGTCTTCCCCTCCCTGCACCTTTCCCTGGAGCAAGATGGCGGCGCGGGCGCTGGCGCCCCGCCCCTGGTGATGCAGGTCGGCGCGGTCACGTGCCGCGCGTTGCCGGGCAGTGCCGGGCGCTGCAGGGACGGGGCGGGAGCGGAGCTGGAGCGGAGCTGGAGCGGCTTCGGCACTGGGAGTGGGACTGGCACTGGGATGGGGTGCGCGGCTCTGCTGTGGTGTGCGATCCTGATCGGCTGCAGCTGCGGCCCGGGACCCCCCGGGGTCGGTGCCGCTCCGCTGCTGACGGCCACCTACGTGCTGGACGATGCGGACGGTCTGGGCAGGCAGTTCGACGGGATCGGGGCCGTGAGCGGCGGCGGGGTGAGCGGCGCCCCCGGGGCTGCGGTGCGGGCAGGGCTGGTGCCCTCCTCGGGGAGGCAGGGGACGGGGGCTGAGCGTTCCATCCCATGGGAATGTGCGGTGGCTTCGGCGGGGCCTGGGCCAGAGGGGGTTCCACGGGGGAGCCATGAGGACTGGGGGATGTGAGAGCTAAGCCAGGATGGGCTTTTCTGTAGAGGGTCTTCGTAGCTCCTTGTCTCTGCGTCTGAAAATGCTGGAAGAGCCAACAGCCGGTCGTCGTCTTTCCTGTGGTCCAGTCAGCAGAGCCGTGAAATCCCTGGAGTTTTTACTTACTCGTGCACCTGCTGGGGTGCTTTCCTTGCCCTCCTGCCTGTGTGCCTCCTGTTGCCTTTGGTATATGGTGAACCAAAGCAGGGAGAGTTCGGTAGAGTGGGAGAAATGGTACGGGGAGGAAGCTGCGTTTTCGTGCCATAAGCCTGTGTGGTCTCTGTTTCTCTGTTCTCTGGACTCTCTTTGCAGGGAATTGCAGGTAACCAGAGTACAAGGCAATTGCAATCTACGAAACCAGAAATGCACACTGAAGGGTTAGAAACGCATTTCTGTAGGGGCTTAGCTGAGTTCCTGGTGCTATAATTATTTTTGTAGGTTTATTAGCCACGTGAAAGTCTTAGACTGAAAAACTGGCGTGCACTTAAGCATTTGAGTTAGGTTTTCATATTTTCATGTTTTCTTTCTGTTTTAGGCCACATCTAGACTCCTGGTGAACTACCAAGAACCTTACCGCTCCCAGATTTTAGATTACCTGTTCAAGGTAAAGTTGGTTTCACTGCTACAGTAATGTTTAATTTCATGCAGAGTTTTTGATTGTGTAATACTGGAACTCCAATTGTAGTATATTCAATGCTACCTGAAATTAGACAAAATCCTATCTTATAAAGAATATACTTTAATGTTGATTGTTTATTGTTGATTGCTAGAACCTTAAATTTTAGCTGTTGTTTTTGACAACCAGGATTTTGTTCAAGACTCTGTTTCTTCAAATTACTATGAAAATTCCTTTCATGTTTTCACAACATGTTTTAAAAATCCATTTTCAAAAATGTATTGAACATACATTGATCCTCCATGTGGGCTAAATGAGAAATCATTTTTATGGCTAAAATTAAGGATTTAGCTGTTCATAGTGATGACAGTAAGTGGGTCTTTGAGGCAGTTTTGATTTTTTGGGGTACAGATAGATTAACATAACATGAAAATGACTGTGCAGGCTGCGTGATTTTAGTAGCATATCTATTCCAAACTAGTCTCAAGTATAACTGCAGTTACTCTAGAGGGTGTGTAAATGTCATTGTTGTGAAAGCTGCCTTAGTTAGCAAGTGTAACCCGTGCAGTTGCCCAACTTATTATAAGGCAAGATTATTACACTGGACATTAATAGCTTGCTTTGCTTTTGGCACTGTAAATTACACTGGAAGAGGATGTCATGTCACTTTCAAGTAATGCAATCCAGATGGCTGGAGGGGGATAATTTACTGTGTAGTTTAAAGAATTACAAAGTGTAGCGTAAGGCATAATATGTGACTGGGTGATCAAACCCTATGTTTTTTGGAGACTGAAGCTGTGTGTTATTAATACAAATTTTCTGAAGAAATCAACAGACACATGGTAAAAGAAAATCTAGCTCAGAGATTGTGATTTTCAAAGAATTTTTGACATGTTGTTTCACCAAAGCCTCTTAAGCTGTCCCACCGTGGAGGGGGTATACCTTGCCTTATTCTCCTTGCCTTTTAATGTCAGTCAACTTTCATGATGGGGATGGGAGAATAAATGTGTTAGGAGTTTAAAATCAGAAATGTCGGGAAGAAAAATGGTATATTGGAAAGATGTACTTTTTTTTTCAAAGCAAATAAAAAAAATCCGAAACTTGTAAGCCAAACAAGCTACTGTCTATGCAACTTATTTTCTAATCAAAATGCATTGCCTTAAAACATTCTTTGAGATACCAGAATTATATTTGGGAAATTCCATAGAGGAGGCCAGTGGTTATTAAGATAATGATTAATTGTAACTTCTGGCTTGAACCACTTCTGACTCTTAAGCCACTAATGGCTGAAAGAGCGTATTAGGAGTAGCGTCACCTGTATGAGCTTGAATTTTATATTTGTCTCCACCAGTCAGATGCCAGGGGAGGGGGAGAGTCGATTAGGTGGCTTCTTGTTTTCTGTTGTGGTGGGTTTTTTCCCTCACTTGCCTTTCTGCATTTAGTTAGCAGATTATTTCTGACTGTATGTATGTTCTGTCACATAAGCAGGATAACCCTTTACACTAAAGAATAAATTATTTACAGAGAAATTGACTTCAATAATTTGATTTTAAAAGGAAATAAATTTGGCTTCTAATAACATTAAAATACTGTTGTGTTCCTCAGGTAGCCCACATCCTACTTTAAGAACGGTTCAGTATTTGCTTGAGCATAACCAATTTAAAATCTGCACAGTTGTGGAGGTGTGTTGTTAACAGTGCAGAGGTCAATGAACTATTAAAGACCAGTGTAATATTTACACTACTTGATTTTCTTTTGAAGCAGAACTCTGTATCTCTTATTGCATTTATAATGGATGTTTAAAAAAATCACCCCACTTTATTTTTAGCTACTTAAAATTTTATCCTTACTTAATGCATTCTTCTTGTTAACAGAAGGATTCTGTTTGGTTTTCTGTCTTTTTTTTTTTAGCCTAATTTTGGTGCTTCTTTACATATTCTCAAAGTAGAGATTGGCGGTGATGGGCAGTCAACAGGTACGGATTTTACATGGGGAGCGTTTAACTTCTTGTTTCAGTGTTGCTGTAAGTAACATGTCCTGCACACATCACTTTAGCTGAGGAATGGAGATGCAGTCTGTAGCTGTACTGAAACTGCAAAAACCCAATGCATCTGCTAACTTGTAAAGAGAGATTTATACTAACCTTATGGAGACAGTTCTCACTATCATATGGTTAATAGGTTGCATTCTAGAGCAAATGAATTCCCCCCCCCAGTAGCTTTCTGACTTGCAGAGCATTTCTCAAACACCAGTTTTGCAATATTTTGAAGCATGAAAATGCAAAGACAGCTGGTCAGAAGCAATGACATTTCTTTGGTTTAATGAGCTGCTACATTTCACTGGAGTGGCACTGGCTGACAGTCGTTATTATTTTTTTCTTCTTTTTTGCCTGAGCAGAATTGCAAATGAAAATGTCTTGGTGTAATTTGTCTAGCTGATTATGTTCACATATAGGAGAAGCTCTTTAGTAACTACTTGTACTCAGAAACTGAGAAGCAGTGATGACAGCTCTTATCTTTCTTTTCTTTTCCTTTTTTAATCTTTCCTCTAAGTAAGCCTGGCCACATCAAGAACAGACTTAAACTAGGCACAGTTAATAAACCTAAGGCACAGAATCTGGTTTTGTGGCATTATATATATATTTATTTGTAATGCCTGTGTTTGTATAATACTGATTTTTTTCTCTGGTTTACTTTCCTTTACCAAAATTAGCATGATGAAAAGTACTATACTGAGTTTAAAAGCTCAGTAATTTGTTAATGAGTTGCTGGTGAGAGGAGAGAGGAGTCGTCTTCTGGCAGAAGTCTAAGTTTGGGATCTAATTATTCTGTGTCCCTGATAAATAGAACTTCCATATAGTCAAGTGTTAGTAAGGTAAAAATATCAATCCTATTTTCTGCAATGAAATGTCCTGTTTAAGCAGACTTCATTAAAAAAACCCTCTCATTAAAAGAGCCCTCTGCATATATTTTAGCATAAATAATTGTTGCAGTTGTATACACAAGTTATAACTTTACTTTTGTGTGTAATGACTTCCCTTACAACACCGATTCTTTTGCACCTTTCTAGTTTGTTTACCTTTGCCTGAGGAAATTCAGTGCATAGCGTTCAATTCCAAAAACTCTTCCTGCAGTCACTGAACACCATGGAAATGATAAACTACATCTTTTACTGTAAAGATAAAAACTCCCTATTTCCTTTAATTGAAAAATTTCATTGTAGTTCCTTTCTTTTCTCTCCCTGGACTTGCCTTGCACAGAATAAACAAAATATAACCTTCTTTTGTTTGTTTTTTTTGGTTTAGAAATAAGCTGCTTGTTTAATGTTGTTTGTTTGTTTTTTGTTCCTCCTCATCTTAATGCTGTAACTTTCCTAGTGGTTGTTGAGACCAAGATAATCATGAATATAGATTTAGATATAGATTGGTGTTATCAATAGATTTAGATATAGATCAGTGTTATCATAGCTAGGAATAGAAAATGCCCAATGGTTAACCACATCTGATGTTAAAAGCAGGTAGAGTCCCTTAAAAATCAAAAATATTAAATTTATGCTAAGTTTATATGCTAAGAACAGAGGGTGGCAAGTCTTGCATGTTCCCTCCCACTCTTCATTTTGCTCTGAAATTGCATACCAGAGAACTTGTGAACCATGTCGGAGATATGTACTTGCATACTATGGCAATGAGCAATACAGCAAACTTTGCCATGTGTAACAGCCTGTGACACAGAGAATAATTGTACCTGTCTCTTTCCTTCCTAGATGGTACTGAACCCTCCCATATGCACTATGAAAATGATGAGAACTACTTCCGGGGCTATGAATGGTGGCTGATGAAAGAAGCTAAAAAAAGGAACCCCAACATTAAACTGATTGGTAAATTGCTTCAAGCTTTAAG